GGTAGGTTCTTTGGGGTCCAGGTGGGCCTTATAAGCCTTGAATCCTGTAGGAAAACGCCGCAAAGTAGGGGCAGTGGCGGGCCAGAGGCCCTCCAAAGCCTGATGGGAATCCAAACGGCCAGGTCACACACCCTATTAAAACTCCAAAAAAAACCGCACAAAATCACCCAATTAACGTAAGGGCCTTCAAGACTAGTTACTACGCACGAGTAGGCTTGGGTTCCTTGGTGTAGCTGGCACGAAGCAGAGCCTTATTCTACCTACTCACGCCCGATATGAAGTCTCCGGGCTCTCCCTAAACCCCAAACCCTGAACCCTAAACCCTAAACCCTGAACCCTTGACGGGATCGGCTCAGGTCTTCCTGACCTCCCCGATGCAGGAGCGATGTGAGCTCTTTTGCTGCATTTTCTTTTTTTGTTGTTTTTTTTGATTTTTGGGGTTAGGGTATAGGGCCTAAGGCTTTGTAGGTTTTTCTTTTCTTTCTCAAGGTTGTTCAGGGTTTGATGGGGTTTTATCGTGAAGGGCCTCTGAAATCCCAAGGCCTCAATCCCAAACCCATCTGAAATCCGACAAAAGCCCCTGAACCCAAACTAAACCCCAAACCCCCCTAATCCCACAATCTCGGTCCCTCAAACAAGGCCTCCGCCTCATAGGCATTCTGACAGCAAGTACTCACTGCTAGAGTAGAGGGGCGACCAAAAAAAATGACAAAACTGAAAGCCATATCGCCCGAAAGCCGTAACCCCTAAGCCAAAAGTAAACCCTTAGTGGCACCAGAGTCGCAAATGGAAAACGGAGCTCAACAAAAAAGCCCTAAAGCCTATTCAGGGGAACAGCGCTGAGGTTTATCCGACGGCATGCTCGCAAACTCGCCCAAAGCCCAGTCGGGCTCAGGCTCCCTTCTTGCTTTTGGGTTTCGGGTTGAAGGGCGCAAACTTCGGTGTCCAGAAAGTTACCTTAGCCTCTTATTTGGGAGCATTCGCTTTGGGATTTGGGGTTTGGACTGTGGGCCAACTTAATCCCATACATACGCCCTTTTTGGGTACTGCAGTCTACATATAGTTTTAAATGCATATATGTATTGACATGTGAATGTACAGATATGTATATGCCTGTGTCTATGTCTATTTGTACGTCTATGTTTATGTCTATGTCTAGATCTATGTCTACGTGTGTATATGTATATATGTGTATGTATGGGCACAATCGTTGAAAAGATATAAAAAATATAAAAATATGTATATTCTAAGGCTGAGCTTTTGTAGGGAAAATCCCATGGTTGCTGGACCCCTTGACTCCCTAAACCCGAAACCCNNCCTAAACCCTAAACCCTCCTTGAGCTCTAGCGCGCTTTGCTTACACCCAAAACCCTAGGCCCTGAGTCCCCGCCCATTCCCTGGACCCTGGAGCCTTCTTGGTTTAAGGGGTCCTTGCCCCAAACCCCTAAACCNNTAAACCCTATAAGCCCTAAACCTTCAGAAGCAGAGACACCTCAGGTCGATAGGTGTGCTGCGAAACTGCTCGGGCCCAAGATGTCTCGGATCGCGAGGCAGCTGGTCAACTGCAATTTTAGGGGTTTAGGGTTTAGGGTATATGAGGGGCATGAAGGATCAGAAAAGGTTGGTACGAGTTCTTGCTTTTGTGTGTGTGTTTTTTTTTCTTTTTTCCGGGCTGTTTGATAGTATAGTGTATTTCTTAGAAGGGACTAAAAGGGATATAAGCTGACAGTATTGCCCACTATTCTGACCCCTAGATTAGGCATGCTCTTTGCCACTTAATGTCCGCTTAACGGGGAGCTTCATCAAAGATTCTGGTGAAGAACACTGGGGCCCCAGCCGGCCAGCCCATACGACATCAACGTGTCAACGTGGCACATCTTTGTGTTTGCCAAGGCAGGCCACCTTCCGAGCCGCCACCTCGGCTAGAGGGATCGGGCTTGTGCTTTCTGGATCTTTCTGGTTCATCTAACCCTCCTTGTGAGATCTTGTGGACATCCCTGAGACGGAATCCATGGTCTGCGTGCGCTTGTCTATATTTGGCAGAATCAGGTCCATAGCTGGCTCTCTGTTCTTGAGCAATCGGGCATGCGACGGCCGTGGTTACTGGCTCCATGCTGTAGCGCCACAGCTTCAAGCTGACGGCTGGTGCTTGAAGCATGTTGCAAAGCTTAGTGTCTTGTCTATGCAGGAGGCATCCAGGGTCTGTGTACTTAGCTACTTTTCGACTTCTAATTTCGGGCCCAGTAGATGAGTCGCCGGTAGCGCATCCGCGCTGACACCCACACCAGATTACCAATCTTGCCGGGGGCGACATGCGCTGCATAACAGCATGCCGCATTACACGGCACCGAGCGACCCTGTATTGAATTGTTTTTGGTTTTCCACGGTTGCTGCCATGGCCCTTGCCATGCAAGTCGAGACAAGGCCAGCGCCCAAGAGTGGCAGGCCGCCGGGCCCCATGAGGGGCCTCATGTTGCTCGAACAGACTGCCATCCAGCAG